AACGAGTCAGGCAGAGAAAAAGAAATACCACATGTTCTCACTTATTGGTGGGAGCTAAATAAATAAACAAATTAATTTACCCACAAACACACACACAAAAAACCGGGGGTGGTGGTGGGGAAGAAGATATAACAACTATACTTTTTTTGAAGTTGTTACAACAAGCAAACGGAAAGGACATTCTTGGGGGGGAGGGGAGAGAGGGAGGAGGGCGGGAGGTGTCGGTGATGGGCCATAATAATCATATACATTGTATATTGACAAAATAAAAATTAAAAAAACAAAAACAACAACAACAAAAAAAGAATACTGAAAAGAGCTGATCATCCTCATGGCATATACTCTTCAGAATCCGTGATGATCTGAAGTCCAGGTTATTCATAATTGTCCTTATCCCCTGGACATGTAAACTAGTGTCTTAGGCAATATAACTTTGTATATTGCTATCTGTGCAGTAGTATTAATTAATTGTCACATGTGTAAACGGATGTCAACTTTGGTGGTGAAGTGTTTTTAGTTGGTGAAAGTATCTTCATCATATGATGGTCAGTAGACTCTGCTCCACGAAGGTGGGGAATTTCGTTTGTTTGTTTGTTTTCTTCACTGCTGTATCCTCAGGGGCTATAGGAGTGTCCAGCACATAGTAGACACTCAATAGGATATTTGTTTAATTAACGAATGAATCTTCCATTGATTGATCTGCCATTGATTTAAAGTCTGACGTATACCTCTTAGAATTATAGATGATGTTAGTAGAAACGAAGTCAAGATTGTAGAGCATGATTTCTTCTCAGGGAATCTCCCTTTGTCATCTTAAGGGCTAACTCAAAAGCCTTTTAGAAAATGATTTTTACGAAATAGTGAAATTTGTGGTCCAAAAATCTCTTCAGAAACTTGTTAAGAACTCTTTTGGGATGTTTTCCAAAAAAACCTACAGCTGACGTAGAATATCATCTCATTTGGATCCAGTTCACCTGAAGGACAGACACTTATCTTTTATTTAGAGAGAAAAATAAATACAACTTTGAACTTTTACTCTAGCCTGTTGCCCTTGAGTTGGCCTCCTATCTGCTGACTGCACCATTGCCCTTGAACCAGAAAGAGAGGAGTAGGTATGGCATGGAGGATTGGGCCCGGAGCCAGACCTCAGGATTCTGGGGTGGTTTTCACCTTTCACTAGCTATGTGGCTTTGGGCCATCCCAGTCATAACCTCATGATACTTCAATTCCTCCCTTTGTAAACTGCCATTCTTCCCAAGAAAGTTGTGATAAGAATGCCCGCCTATCGACTTGGTGGGGCTATTAGAAATTCCAAATAAGATGTGTTTGTAGCACTTTGTTAATAGAACAGTTTTACACAATGTGGAAATTCTGACTACAGGGCAAGAAGAAATCAAAAGAAAGAGATTATACAAAAGTCTTTTTAATTTTACAAAACTAATATGGAGTAATGAAACTATGAACTTTCAAAGAGAGATTAAGAATAAAGAAACAATTTACAATGTTCTAAAACCAAGGACAGCCACACATCCAAATGAGGAAGCACACAAAAGAAGTCGGTTCCTGCTGAATCGGCCAAGACAGGTGATATCAATAATCAAAACAATGTAAGCAGTGCTGTGTTTTAAATTTGATCCAGATTTGAGATGACCGTATACAAGAAATGACCTTACTGGAGTCAAGTATATAGGCTCTTAAAGATGAAATCTAGATGTTAGGAGCTATTTAATGTTGAGCTTTCAGCTCCATTTCCTGAGGAATCATCAGAGCCATAGGTGGGGAAGGCAGTAATTCTTGTGAGGCATTGCAGATGCTGAAATCCAGACATACGGAATTGTTGTACTCTATAGTATAATACAGAAACAGTCTCACAATAGGATAAACACTCCTTTAAAATTTTCTCTTAACTCTAGAGTGAGGATATTGTATAGATTGGCTAGTTGGTGTTTTTTTTCATTTTATATCTGGCTTCCTGTGTACCCATTAGGATTCTGTATTTGTAGTGATTGGAGTGCAGTTCTCTGCTGAAACCTCTAACACTGTGCACAGTGAACATGTTTAATACGTTGGCAGTTGAAATTCATAGATATAATTTGTACTGATACTGAAATTGTGGAATATGATAGAAAACCAGACTTTTGTTGTTGATATTGTGAAGATGGCATATGAAGTAGCATCATAAAAAATTTACCAAATCAACTGGTACAGAGGACCCTTGAACAACATAGGGGCTAGGAATGCCAACCTCCATTCAGTCTAAAATCTGCACATAACTTTTGACTCCCCCCAAATTTCATTACTTAACTACTACTTAAGTATGTTTAGTGACCCCCAGGTCTAGGTTGCACCTCGTGCTTAACTACTTTACTGCTAATAGCGTACTGTTAGGTAGGTTACTTAACTGGTAGCAACTGGTACTTAACTGGTAGGCGACAATTTTTCTAATATATTTATTGAAAAAAATCTGTGTATAAGTGAACACATGCAGTTCAAACCTGTGTTGTTCAACTAAATGTTCAGCAAGTCAAAACTGATTTCTTTGATAGCACTGGTAAATAGTCTACTAATTGTATTTTTTTCTTTGCTTGACAGCAATATATTGCTCCTTTAGAGACATAGGTGACTTTTCCCCATCAAATATTAATTGGGAACCTCCTGAGTGCCAGCCAGTCCACTGGGTTCCAGGAACATGGAGGGAAATATGACAGCCGTGGGTCTCACTGCCTAGAGCTTTCAGTCAGTACTTTTCTGTATTTCTAATTATGGAGTTAAAATGCTCCATATTTCCTGGTTCCTTTAGTTAGTCAACAAGGCTCATCTCATCAGGAAATACTTAGTTCAGGGAATGGTGGCAGTGACCAGGCCACTGACCACATAGCTGATCAACAAACACATGGTAGCTTTGGTGGAGGGGATAGGGAGGTAGAGAGGGAGGTGGGGGGAGAGAGAGAGAGAGAGAGAGAGAGAAAGGGAGGTTTTCAGAAGTTCTGTTTATCTACTGTTATTCTGAAACAGGAGCTCATAAAAAAAGTTCATCTTTTTATTTTTCTTATTAAAAAAGTAAGACATCATCATTTTAAGAATATTTGTAAAATACAATACAGTGAAGAAAATAAAATAAAAATAAAAGTGACCTTTAATCCTAATACCAGGGATAATTATAGTAGTCTTTGATATACCTCTTCCCATGCCAAATTTTATTACGTTTTTTAAGGCCAATTGGTGTTTTTCCATTAAAAGTATTTTGAACTTTGTTCCAGAATATTAAGTATTTTCTACAATATATTTTTCAATGGCTGTTAACAATATTCTTTATTATGGAGGTAACAAAATTTGTTTAACTAGTCCCCTACAGTTGCATAGTTATTTCATTGTTTCCTCATTATAAACAATAATGGTATAAATATGCTGACAAATAACTTGCACATATTCGTAATGATTTCCTTTGTATGATGTCCAAGAAATGATTGCTGAATCAAAGGTTGTGCACATTTAAAAGACATTTGATGAACATTACCAAATTTTAAATTTATTTTAACACCCACTTAGTTGAACTAATTTACCTTTTGTTACTGTCTTCCTGAAAAATGTTTCTAGCTTTTTATCTTAAATTTATTGTCTATTGTAATTTTAAAACAGCTGAATATGTATTGAATTTTGAGAAGAAAAAGAACGACATAATACTAAAAGCAAAAAATACCAAAATGTAATTGTATTAAGGAAAAAAAAAGAATGAAAATATTGTATTGTTAACTAATGTCATTTCATATTTCTTATGCCAAAATTAACTCTGACATTTTAAAATGTATTTCAAATACAGGGCACAGTGTTTCTCTGCTTGTGTTCAAGCAACTATCAATTGACTGACTGTTTTTGGTGGCTGACTGGTTCAGGGATCTGAACCTGTGACCTTGGTGTTGCAAGGGTGCCCTCTAACCAACTGAGCTAACTGGCCAGCCCAACTGACTCTATTTTTAATGTGACTTTCTCTGTGCTACATAGAATAGAATTTTAGGAGAGCTTTTTTTTTTCTTTCTTTTGAGTCTGTTCAATTAATAGCACTTCACTTTGACATAATTTTCAATTATTAAAAAAATATTCCCATTGGGTGTTTTCCTCCATACGTTGTGCAATTGATGAGGCTGCTCTCTTGTGCTCTGAACACTGATGTCTCACTCTGCAAGTGCGCTGGTGAATTTTCTCCTGCTTTTCTCAGACATATACTCTTTATGTCATTCTAAGGTAATTTCACAATAAATGTTCTAGAGTGTCAAAGAAAAACTGATGACGATGATGCTGAGGGAGTTTGGAAACAAATCTGTCAAATAGCAAGGGAAGATTCCTTTCTGCTTTTTATTGATCTTTACTAATTTTAAAAGAGAAAACAAAACATCCTTATTCTGACATTGTTTTTCTGCCCCCCCCCCCCTTTTTTTTTTTAATTTCACAATAAATGTTCTAGAGTGTCAAAGAAAAACTGATGACGATGATGCTGAGGGAGTTTGGAAACAAATCTGTCAAATAGCAAGGGAAGATTCCTTTCTGCTTTTTATTGATCTTTACTAATTTTAAAAGAGAAAACAAAACATCCTTATTCTGACATTGTTTTTCTGCCCCCCCCCCTTTTTTTTAGTGCTCTGCGATGGGGGCAAGGGCTTTCTGTGTGCCAGTGGAATCTGCATCCCCAGGAAACTGCAGTGTAATGGCTACAATGACTGTGACGACTGGAGCGACGAGGCTCACTGCAGTATGTAACAGGCTGTTTGGGGTTTGTCTGGGTGGACAGGAGTTCTATTCAGGGGCCTAGAAACCAAAACCATTCCATTGTCAAATCCTGACAACCATCAGACATTTGCGTAGACTGCTTTTGGTTTGCCTTTCTAAAGCGAGTAATGTGTTTACCTTCCCCCAGGGTGACAGTAGTCTGTTTGCACACCTTTCAAAGGCATGGTTTTATTAGGAATCCAACAGCTAGACGCTGCATTGGAACAGATTAGGGATTGAAACGTTTTTGCATAGAGTCTTAAAATCAGGAGAAGGCTTTTGGTTTATTTTGTTTGGGTGAGGATTTTTATTTTTGTTTTTAAAGCTTTATGAGTACAAAGGTCAATGTTTTCTAAAAAGGTTATTTTAATAGGAAAAATTTTCACACTAATGATTCATAACATTCATGACATGGCAAATACAGAGCCTCTGGTTTGTTTATGTTTTCCCCAAACCTAGAGATAGTCAATGGCATTAACTGTTTTTAATCTACTGATCGATTGATTCAGCTTTAAACATCCACAATTTACTTCCTCATTGATTTGCTTAGTTGTTTTAACTGAATTGGCCAGTAGTTTGTCCAATATAGATTCAGATTTCAAGTTGTTTTGCACTTATGCATGAGAGAGAAGGAAAAAATTAGACCCAAGAATTATATTACATGATGTGTACTCAAAACAGAACTATATGCACTTGTGTTCTAATTTTTTTTCATCAAAATATTTTAACATTTATTTGTACATATTTGTGGGGTACACTGTTGTTTCAGTACACTGCACAATGATTCACTTAGGGTCGATAGTGTAGTTTTGTACCCATTAGTCCACCATTTTTTCTTCTTCCTCCCCCATCCCACCCGTAATCATTACTCTACTCTCTACTTCTCTGAGAACCACTTAAAAAAAAAAATTCCACATATGTGTGAGATCATGTGGTATTTTCTTTCTGTGCCTGACTTACTTCATTTAACATGGTGGTTTCCAGTTCCATCCACGTTGCTGCAAATGATAGGATATCATTTTTTTAAATAGCTGAGTAGTATTCCATTGTAAATATATGCCACAGTTTTTTTTTATCCATTCCTCCACTGATGGACATTTAGGTGGATTCCATCTCTTGGCTGTTGTGAATAGTGCTGCGATGAACATGGGAGTGCAGGTTTCTTTTTGGTATGTTGATTTCCTTTCCTTTGGGTATATAGCTAGTAGTGAGATAGCTGGGTCATAGCGTAGATCTATTTTTAGTTCTCCAAGGAACCTCCATACTGTTTTCCACAGTGGCTGTACCAATTTACACTCCCACCAGCAATGAAGGAGAGTTCCTTTTTCTCCACATCCTTGCCAGCATTTCTTATTTTTTGTCTTGATAGTAGCCATTCTAACTGGAGTGAGATGATATCTCATTTGGTTTTAATTTGCATTTCCCTGGTGATTTGTAATGTTGAGTATTTTTTCATGTGTCTGTTGGCCATTTGTGTGTCTTCTTTTGAGAAATGTCTGTTCAGGTCCTTTGCCCTTTTTGAAATTGGTTCATTTGGTTTTTTGCTGTTGAGTTGTTTGAGTTCCTTGCATAGTCTGGTTGTTAGCCCCTTGTCTGATTGTTTTTTAATGGTTGTATAACCAGCCATATTTAGTATGGGACAAGTTATGTTTTACTCGTCATGAGGATTGCCAAGGCTTTATAAGAGTTCCACACTGCTGACCTCAATGGAAAGATTCCTCTGGTCTGTTTGCCAGGTGAGCCAACTCTTCTTCTATCTGAACGGTTAGGATGTTCATTTGTCAGAACTTTCGAAAGGCACTACTGTTGCAACATTTTGGGTCAGTGTTTCCCAAACTGGTGTCTCATAGTACTTGAGTCTTGAAAAATGAATGAGAAAAAAAATTAGTTTGGGAAATGCTCTCTACTAGATCTTCCTAGAGAGTTACAATACATATTCGTATTAAAAGTTCTGAAAAAATATACAGTTAAAAAAATTACTAATTTTGCTTAACTTGGTACTTCCTCAAAATTATTTCCTCATGTTAATCTCCATCTTTATTTATTTGTTCATGCATTTATTTATTTTGCATAATACCTCGCATCCTTTGGAACTTTAGTTATGTAATACATATTTTAGCAAATGTTTTTCAGAAAGACATTTGTTTTTCACAACTTGAAATTCTCTATTAAGAAAAACTTATGGCATACAATTTTACATGAAACACATTTTTATAGGATGTATATTTATATTGGGGAGTATTGCTGTGGACTTAGCAGAAAATACTGTGCAAAATAGCCACAATAGGATACTTTAAATGGCTCCATAGAATTATATTCATTTTATGGGAATTGTGATGGCATCTCTTATTATAGTCCATGTCATGGCATTATTCAAATTTCGCATGTGCTTCTCCCCTCTGTGGTGGGCCAACATCAATTTCATCATTATGTTCTTCTGTTGTACTGAGCATTGCACTTGGAACACAGTAAGTGCTTTCTGCCACATTTGTTGAAACTAAACTTGAAGAAATAAAATTTCCTAGCTGCAATGGGACAAGAAGGTATCACTATTCTGCAAGTTATTTAGCAATGTCCTTGGAGTTGAAGAATTTATTAAGGAAGACAGACACTGGCTTTACTCACGAACATACTTAAAAAATGATCTGGTTTGGAGGAAAGACATCCCTTCAGAAAACTTCTGTATGAAAATGCTTAGTTAGATGTTGAAGGCTTCATATGCAGTTGTTTCTGACCTTAAAAGGACATCTGCTTCTGAACTCTAAAATTCAGTGCTTGTGGCATTTCAGCATGAGTGTTTATGGAAGGTGCCACATTCCTGTTGTCACCACCCTGCAGTGAAGGAATAGTGCAAATTTGAATTAGAGCTTAGATGCAATCAGAGCGTGGACATGGCCCACAAATACTCATGAGGGAAGTTTTGCTGTGCATTCCCGTGGAGGGGCAGAAAAATATACGTGGTTCCCAAGGTTCTGGCAGGTAGATGAGGAGGACTGCCAGAGAAGATCATGCTTCTATGGGTTAGATGCAAAGATAATCTCTAGCTAAGCACTTTTCTGCTTTTATAAAACATGAGTCAAATTATGTAGTTTGTATAGTTTATTGAGTTGTTGAATTCTTTTTTAGTCATGTTCAAAGGAAGGGAGGGAAGGGATTTCTTATTTGTGAATTACCTAATCAACTGTGCTAGAAGCATTTACCTACATGATATGGTTTGATTATCAGCACAGGAGGTATTGCCTAACCCCTTTTGTACAGGTACAGAGCCAGGGCTTGGGGTGATGTATTAATTTGACAGTGATTCAAAGTGCTAGATTTGAACTCAGTCTTGAAGGGTTCCAAATTTAGTGCCACTTTCTCTCAGCTGTGCTGCCTTCGACTTTTCCTTGTCCCCAAAAGCTCAGATTTGGTGAATGATTATATTCTGATAATTCATATGACAGGAAAGTTTTTAACTAGTTTGGATGCTCTATTATGCTTTGGGAGGTGATTGTCTATTACAGCAGCGCTCCAGGTATCTGTGACTACTTACTGACTTTCTCCCCTAAATAATTTTGTCTTGTTTGTTAGTATCTTCCTAAGAAATTGATTGAAAATATTTCCAACTACCTGGAACAATTTTAGTGGTGTAGTAGAAAGATTTTTGAAATTAGGGCAACTTTAAAATGTTCTAGCTCTGTGACTAGTTCTGTGAGGCTACTTCTCTAACCTTGACTTTTCTTATCAAGGCTGGCTGCACATTAGCACCCCCAGGAAGCCCCACCTGCAGGGAAGCTGATTCAGCTGGTCTGGAGGTGGGGCCCAGGCAATAGCACTTTTGCAGAGCTCCCCAGGAAATTCTAAAGTGCAGCCAGATTTGAAACCACTGGACTAGAAGGTATCTGGTGTCTCTTTTGTTGCTAACATTCTATAATCTTTTGATTCTATAACCAGCTCCTAAAACAGTGCCTGGAACATAGTAGGTAATTAGCAAATGAATACATTTTTTAAAAAGTCTCAAAGAAAATGGTTGTCACAGGAAAATAACTGCCACAAAGTCTACACACTTAATTCCACATAAAACCACCATCAAATAGTTTTGGAAATTATTAACTCTGAATTTTGGTAGAATTGGTTGACTCGTTTTTGAAGACAATGGTTATATAATTATACTGAGTGAGGTAGAGTATAGTGATTAATACTGGAAGTGTTGAGTCAGGCTGCCTCAGTTCCTGTCTTTACCATTTCCTACCTCTGAGAACTTGGGCAAGTTATCAACATCCCTATGCCTCAGTTTCTTCATCAGTAAAATGAAAATAATAGTAGTAACTATTTCTAGAATTGTTCAGAAAAATGAAACATTGGATTTAAAGCATAGACTAATGTCTGGCATGCAATAACTCAAAGAACATTAGGATTTATGGTTGTGATGTTGTCATTGTTAACTGTTTTTATCTTACCCCTTCCCTCACCCAGCACCTCTCATTTCTAGGGTGCAGAGGATGACCACTGAAAATCAAGGGGACAGCTGATAAAGACTGGGTGATATGTGGTAGGGCAGACAGAAACAGTAAAATA